CCGCCCCCGCGCCTCGCACCGCGCACCCGCCGCCGCGCCCCACCACCACCGACACCGACGCGCCGCCGGGGCCTGGGACCTCCCGCCGCCCGCGCCCACCTCGCGCTCGCTGGAGGACCTCAGCTCGTGTCCCCGCGCCGCGCCCGCACGCAGGCTCACCGGGCCCTCGCGCCACGCTCGCCGGTGCCCACATGCCGCGCACTGGGGACCGCCGCTGCCCACTGCGCCCCACCGGAGACACCGGGGCGGGGAGCTGGGCACGCGCAGGGGCTCGGCGCACTTCTCTAGCCTCGAGTCCGAGGTATGACGCGGCCCGGGAGGCCCCGCCGTCCCTTCGGTCAGCGCAGGCCACAGCCCGAGGGGGCGCACGCAGCAGACAGGACCCGCGTGGGTTGGAGAGGAACCACATGCAACTGGCCGGACCCCGCCTGGAGCAGCGTCCTGCGCCCCCTCGCGATGGGGAGATCACGAGCCAGAAGGGATCTGGTCGCCCAGATTTCACCTAGCCAGAGAGCGAGGGGGCGGGTGGGGGTCTTGGAGCCCACCCGACTTTTTTTTTAAACCCGACAAGGGCTTTTTAACGTCACCAGAGGGGGCGGCAGGTGGAGGGTCGCGCCCCGCCCCGCCCCCACGCTCGGGCAGTGGCCCCCACATCACTGTGCAGCTCCCCGGCTCCAGCCACACCTCCGGGGAAGCCCGTTTTTAACCTTTCATCCATCGGGACTCAAAACTGTGAGACGCGTTCGCCAAACTGTGACCCCAGACCTTGGCCCCGCCACACAGAAACCCCTGACCCCAGACTGTGACTTCCGACACCTAAAATGGTCATCCGACCCCAGACTGTGACCCGAATCCCAGACTGTGCCCCGTCCAGACTGTGACCCTGATGTCAAACCGTGACCCCCCCGCCCTCCTTTTCCACCCTTGTTGGCTTTTCCCTACTTTAACCTAGCACCTGTCCCCAACTGAAGCCCCGCCTTCCCCTCTCCCACATTGATCCCAACCTCCCTCAGCCTAAACTTACCCCTTCCCCACCTCCCGTCCAGCCCTGGTGCCCCCAACCACATCCTCTCCAAATCCAACCCTACTTTGTCACCCTCCAGTGATGACCCAGCAGATCCCCAAAAGCCTCCTCTTCCCAGATCTCCAGCCGGACCTGGGGCTGGTTGCAGAGGGGAGGGTCTGGGAGACCACACTTCACCACCGACCTTCCTTGCCCCTCTCCTGTTCCACATTGCAGTGTTTGGAATAAACCATGTTTTTATGCCTCCTCAGCCCAAGCCGGAGCTCTGTGTCTGTCTCTTATCCTCCCTCAGCTTCTCTGGAGGAAACAGAAACTGAGAAAATTATCACAGGGAAACAGAGACAGAGAGTGGGGGAGACAGAGAGAACAAGAGACTCTGAAAGGAGATGGGAGAAAGACCTGATGAGAGGGGTCAAGAGGAGACCGGGCAAAGAAGCCCTAAAGGAGTGGGAGAAATCTGGGATACAAAACATTTTAGGATCAAATCTAGGGCTCCATTTCCTGTGGCTACAGTCCACAAGGCCTGCTTGATTCATAATATTCTGTTCATGCAAGCGAGGACAGTATCTGACTCATCCCAGCCAATCCCCACGTCCTGAATGCCATTAATCTTACCAATGAGAATCTATTTCTAACTTTCATTACGTCAATTAGTCAAACCGCTGGTGCCAATAGGCAATAAAGACAGCTGCTGCGCTTGTGAGGGCTGCCTCCAGAGGGTGGACTTTCTGATTAAGTGCTCGATGACCAGAGCTGCAATGTGAACGCCTGGTTAGGCACTTGACTGCCCCTAGAGGGTAAATTCACTGACTAACACAGAATATCCACCCGGTCTACACTAAAGCTTTTTGAAGTGAACTAAAGGCATCGTAACAGGGAGAGAAGAAACCGGCTTTATGGGTCCCAAGGGAGCAGAAACCCAGTCACCTGCCAGTAAGCGCTCAAGTTTGCATACATGAATAATTAAGTGGAAAGATAGCCCTG